CTTGAGCTCAGAGGGGACAGCACCTTGAGAGTATACCCTGGCAAAAGCCATATGTAGGTTACAGTCACTTTCAACTCAATGTCAAATTCGAAGTGATGAATTCAGGCCATCCATCTCCAGGGTTCCTGCAAATACTGGGTAACCAGACTCACAATTGTTTGCTCTCATTCAGATCCTAGCTAACCAGGCACACAGTTGTTCTTATTCAGATACTAGTTAACTAGACACGTTGTTGCTTCCATTCAGACATTAGCTAACGATTAGCTCATGGTTGCTTGCTCTCATTCATACTCACCCCCCACAGAACGTCAGAGACTTGACATTTCCAGGAGCCTGGTGATTCACAATTCTAAACCCTTATTTGGTGTTAAAGAGATGTGTTTTTCTCTGGAACTCTCTCTCCATTTAGGTGTTCTGTCATGCACAGTCATTAATTTATATCTTCCTTAGAACGGAATAATATTGAAGAAGCAATTTCTTCTTTGCCTGTCTTGTCTCCTAAGCTTTTCTCATCCAGAACCTGCCATTTCTTTTAGCCACCTGAAGAAAATGGCCATTATCATATAAATCTGTTTGAAGAGAACTAATAAAAATGAAAATGACTTAGATGTGGAAAGCCAAAGTGGATTCTTTAAAATAGACACTACGTGGTCACAGAAATATGAATTTGACCTTTTCACTCTTTCGTTTACTCTGCTTAATACTTTGTGTGTACTTGGTCATTTACATCTCTTGATGATTTATGTATAAGGTATCTCTACTGATTAAAAACAAAAGGTGCTTTGATGTGAATAAGAAGAAATGACTTCAAGCCTTTGTTTTGCAAACTTCTCATGCTCACAGCAGTAGAGATACTGGGACTAGTTGCATTGTGAATGTTGAAGGTAGAGCTTCCCAAGGAAGTTTACAGGGGAGGCAGATATAACTAGACAGTTCAAGAATTGCATGGCTACAAGTTGAGGTAAATTTTCTGAAAGAAATAACCCAGATAGAGTCACCAGGAGAGAATGCCCCACAATCAATAGATGCTGAGGGAGGACCGAGAGGATGAAGACAGTCAAGAGGTAGGCAGGCCGTGTGTGTGTGTGTGTGTGTGTGTGTGTGTGTGTATGTGTGTATGTGTGTATGTGTGTATGCATGTATGTATGTATGTGTATGTGTGTATGTAAGTATGTATGTGTGTATGTATGTGTGTGTCTATGTGTGTGTATCTGTGTGTGAGTGATGGAGGGTAAATAAGATAACACAGACTACGGGAAGGAAAGATTCTCTGTCAAACAGGGCTATGGTCCTTTCATGGAAGGGAGAAAGGACTGGAAATAAAACAGAGGCCAGCAGGGATGAGACTGCACAAGTTCTGAGTCTCCACAAATAATGTTTAACATCCAAAGACAATGGAGGACACCAGGGCTTTGAAGCCAACCTGGTTCTACCAGGCACCTTCTCATGTTCAGGGGTAAAGACTTAGATGGATTGGGTGGCTTCTCCAGACACATGGGGTCATATAAGTGCATGAGTAACTTGCTTGGGACTCACACCTAGGCCAAGTGGTACCACACTGCGCTTGTAAGCATCCGTGAACTTACGCTGTCTGTCTCTGCCTTCCTCACTCTCCCTCTTCCTCCTCTCCTTCATCCCTCTATTCTGAAAATAAAGAATCTACTTTTGGAGCTCTTTGGAGTTGGACACAGCAGCACATGTCTATAATCCCAGCACCAATGGGCCAAGGCAGCAAGATTCCTGGGCTACAGAGTGAGGCAACAATAAAACAGAACAATGCAAACAAAACAGAACAATACAGAACTGAAGTACTTTGGTATTAAAATGGCAAAGTTTCTACCAACCACCTCATCCTAATAGCCCAACTTGAAATGTCCTCATTTTCAATATGAGGGAGCTGAAGTTCATAGTTAGGCTGTGTGCTCTGTTGTTGGATGAGAAGCAGGGTAGGGAACCCTCCCACCTGACTCCTAGGTTTAGGTGCACCTGTGAAAGTGGCACTGTGGCCTCGACCCATTATCTGTGCTCCACCCATGGTGAACAGTAGGAGGTCACAAAGTTGGAATACAGAGACCAGGCAGCATCCTGACAACAATCTAGACACATGCGAGGGGACAGGTATATTGGGTTTTAGACCAGTGAGTAGAGAATGAATATTGAATACATTCTGGACATGAGGCTCAGGAAACCTCTCAGGCTGGAGGCCAGGGGACAGAGGCTACATTCTCTATGGGGACATCACTTTGGAGAGGCAGTGGCATGGGGATGCCCTGATTGCTGGTGTCAGGAGGAAGGTAAGTTAAAACGGAAGGACCACAGAGAGGCCTGCACCACTGGCCTCTGGTAGGCAGCACTTTTCCTGTAACCAGGCAAATCTCTAAGGTATCTACTGAAGTCATGACTTATCTGCTCTTTTGATAGCTAGCTTTGACATCTGGGTCTTTTTTGTCCCCAAATTTACATTCCTTATATGTTATTCCTTTGCTTTCTTTCTCAAGGAAGGTATCCAGAATGCTGCCCAGGGTAGGTATGCAGGCAGATAAGAATGGTATCTTATCAAAATGTTTTTTCCCCTTATGGTTTGAGGAGGAAAAAATAATTCACAAAGTCCCAGCTCATTCAAGGACTTATACCCAATCCTCTCAGGATTGCCTTGAATACGCTAAGTGAGCTCCTGGCTTTTAAAAATGAGAACCTAACAATGCCGCAGTTTAAAGGAAAAACTAAGTAAATAAATAAATAAAAGTAAGTGTGATTTATCACTTCGATCTTGCAGCCTACAAAATACAGGCATTTCCCTCCTGGGAATGAATAGCTCTGCTTGCCTGCAAGCAGATTGTAAATGTTGGAGTCGTGACCAGACATCTTGGCTTTTAATGGCCTGCAACCAACAAAAAATAAACACATAGACTTCCGACAGCCAGCACAAAGTCAGACATTCTTCAATGTCCCTGGTAACATTCAGCATTGCTTTGCAATTGCTGTCAACATTTTGGAGAATTCAGAATACTAGTCTAGCAAAGTCTAGCAAAGCAGTGGAGCCAGCACAATAGGGAGCTCTTTCATCGTAAATTTATTTTTGGTGTGTGTGTTCACGTGTCTGTAGGTACACATGTGTGCGCATGGGTATGTTGTGGAGGCCAGAGGACAATTTTATGTATCGTTCCTGAGGAACTGTCCATTTTGATTTTTGAGGTAGGACCTCTCAGTGGCCTGGAACTTTCTGAGTAGACTAAGCTGGCTGGCCATGGAGTCCCCAAGTCCATCATCCATTTCTGCCTCCCACGCTCTAGGGTTACAAGCTTGTGCCACCACATCTCCTCCTCCTCTTCTTCCTCTAAACGGGTTCTGGGGAATTGAACTCAGGTCCTTACGCTTGCAAGCCAACACTTTCCCAATTGAGTCATCCCCAGTACCCCACTGTAAAGTCTACACACCCAAATGGCAGTCTTGAGGAAGTCAGCATACTGCACTATTGTCATCCTCATTTCCATCAGTGGTCAACTGTGAGCCATCTCCTGAAGGCCCCATCGCAGTCACAAAGCCAGGGAGGCAATGACTCAAGGGTTTGGACTGTCTCTGAGGAAACAGAGACCACCTGAAAATGCCATATCCTCTCCCAGAATTCTAGGACTAATCAGGCAGTGCTTACACCCCAGACAGTGACTCCTTCATCCTGGCAGGTTTACCAAGTGAAGGAGAAAACCCAGAACCATGTGGCAGTGGTGTAAGGTGGAGAACAAAGACATCAGGCTAAACACCTTTGTGCCAAGGCTGATGTAGGCATACACAGAGAAATTGAAAAAGCAAAGCATGCCTTACATGAAGAACCTGTCAAAGGTGCCAGTCTGCCAGGCATGGGTTCCATGGAACCTCCTCCTCAAACTTTGGTTCACTACTTCCTTGTACGTAGTGTTTTTTTGTTTGTTTGTTTGTTTTTGTTTTTGTTTTAGTTTTGCTTCGTTTTTCTGCAACATATTCTCTTATTGTTTGGTGACACAAGCATCTGGGAATCCCAGAGGATGCCCTTCCGACTCCAGTCTTCACCCATGACAGTACCCATGAGTCATTACCTGAAGCAAAAGGAGAAGCCAGATGCAGACCCTGACACTGCTCTAAGAAGCCCAAGCACCACTTGGAGGCACATTCAAGCAAATCTGACCTGAGGCAGGAGGCAGGAGATTGACTCTGACCGTTGTAGCTCAACTCTTCCATCGATACTAACGTGGGAATTAAAATACATCCTTTGATTATCTATTAGACTCCACTGAATGTCAAGTACGTTCGATGCTTAACCTTCATGGAAACTCTCACAATCCATGGGCCATGGACCAAAGAAGCACTTTGTAAAGTGTGTTCCCCAGACCAGCATCAGGTTAGCACTGCCTTTAGACTAGTTATAGATGCACACCTTCTGGCTTCCCCACAGACCATCTGAATAAGACAGTGGGGACAGAACCCAGCAAACAGCTCGAATGTTAGTCCCACAGATGGGTGGGGGATGCATAAAGGTATCTACCAGTCACTGTTTTAGTGAGTCCCATGGGATTATTATTGTTAGTAGTAGTAGTAGTAGTGTGTGTATGTGTGTGTGCATGACTGTGTGTGTATGTGTTAGGGGATGAGTATGTATGTGTGCTTATGTGAATGTATGTGTATGTGTGTGCACATATGTGTATGTAGTGTATGTATGTCTGCATGTGTGTGTATGTGTGTGTGCATATGTTTATGTAGTGTACGTATGTCTGCGTGTGTGTGTGTGTGCGTGTGTGTATGTGTGTATGTGTGAATGTGAATGTGTGTGTCACAATGCGCATGTGGAGGTCAGAAGACCAGCCTTGGGAGTTAGTTCTCTCCTTCTATCACAGCTCTGGGCTTGAACTCGGGTCAGAAAGCTTGCTTTTACTTGCTGAGCCACCCCACTGTCCCTGCTTTTTTTCTTTTTTACGTAGAAAAATGACCACTTTAAAATCATCTTCCATTCATATAATTTTTTTTACCTCATTTCCAAGTCTTCATTCTCTTGGGGTACAAATCTGTACAAGGCAACGTAGGTGTTCATCTGTAATGGGTCTTTGGAAAGAGGTGCCTGCCAGAGAAGATAAATAAGACACAGTGAAATTGAGAGAGGAAGGAAAAACATGGACAGGGAGACACGACTGCCATGAGTGTCCATGTGCGGCTCGCAGGAGTCAAAACCGACGGCCGTTACTAAGGCTTCCCTCACAACCTGAGCTTACTGTTTATTTACTGATTGATTGGTTGAGACAGGGTCTCTCCACATAACCCTGGCTGTCTTGGAACTCATTATGTAGACCAGGCTGGCATTGAACTCACAGAGATCTGCCTGCCTCTGCCTCGCTAGTGCTGGGATTAAAGACGTGCGCCACCACAGCCAGCTCCTTAGCTTACTTTGAATTTTGGAGTTATACTCCTCTATAAACTATTTGAAATGCTTGGAATGTGTCAGAAAGAATCATTTTCTTCAGGTGATTTTTTTCTTTGAAAAAATGACATTTCATGAAAAATGTCAGAAATGGGAATATTTTCTTCCTATTTGTGTGTGTGTGTGTGTGTGTGTGTGTGTGTGTGTGTGTGTTTGCAGGCTTATGTTAGGACTCATCCTAATCACTTTTCTACCCCATTTATTGAGGCAGGGTCTCTCAATAAAACCCAGGGCTTGCAGATGTAGCTAGTTTCTTTCGTCAGCTTTCTCTGCAGATTCCCTGTTTTTATTTTCTGAGGGTGGAATTCCAAGTGAGCCTCCATGCCCGCCTGGCTTTTATGTGGGCCATAGGGATCTGAGCTCTGGTCCTCAGGACTGTGTGGTAAGAACTTAAATTACCAGAACCACCTCCTCTGCCACAAGTGAGAACATTTTCTCTGAACAAAAGAGAGGCATATGAACAGGAATAAAAAAATTTCCCTCCCAAAATAGACATTTATAAAAAGAGTTATTGGTTAATTTAATTGTATGCACGTGCACCACCATATATGCAATGCCTGTGGAGGCCAGCAGAGGCATCAGATCCTCTGGAGGGGGAGTTACAAATGGCTGGGAGCGACCTCATATGCTTGCTAGGAACTGAACCTGGGTTTTCTGAAAGTGTGATGTGTGGGCAATTTTTATGTCAATTTTGACACAAGGTAGCGTCATTGGAGAAGAAGGAGCCTCAACTGAGAAAATGTCTCTTTAAGATCTAGCTGTAGAACATTTTCTTAATTAGTGATTGATGTGGGAGGACTCCGCCCACTGTGGATGCTGTCCCTGGCCTAGTGGTCCTGGGTTCAGGCTGAGCAAGCCATGAGGAGCGAGCCAGTAAGCAGCACCCCTCCATGGCCTCTGCATCAGCTCCTGCCTCTGGCTCCTCTGAGTTCCTAACCTGACCGTCTTCCATGATGAACAGTGACGTGGAAGTAAGGCCAGCCACACGAACTCTTTCGTCTCCAAGTAGCTTTGGTTACGGTGTTTTATCACAGCAATAGCAACCCTAACTTTGACAGAAATTGGTACCAGGATAGGGAGGTATCGCTGTGACAGACCTGACCCTGTGTTTTTGGGAGGACTGTGGAAGGAATTTCGAACTTCGGGTTGGAAAAGCCATTGAGTGTTCAAGCGTGGCGAGCTGTTCTGTGGGGGCTTGGAAGGTAACAGTGTTGAGAACAGTGCAGAGGATGGGGGCCTGGCTTGTTTCAGAGGGAAGTTTGAGGGAGTCCTTTAATGACTCTACGAGGGCCATTTGCTGTGTTTCTTGTTAGCTGGGGCTGAAGACAGCTGGGATCAGGAAGATACCAGGAGCACTGGCAGAAAACCTTGGTTTTACTGGAACGATCCATGCTGGTCAGCTGGAGCTGAGAAATTTGTGGTGGTTAAGAAGACCCGCATCACTGAGGTAAAGTCTTCTTCTGGGAAGTGTTTCCTCAGAGTCAGAACGTACAAGCTGTGTTCCGGAGGCTGCCGAGGTTGCACCCCGTGCTGGCGTTTGTATAAGACTGGGCAGTATAAGACTCACTCGGGTGGGGCTGGGAAGGGGTCATGGAGAGCAGCTGAGGCACTATGGCAGGGTTTGAGTCCCTGACGAGAGCCCAGCACAGGCTCCCGGTGAAAGTGCAGCCCAGTTGCACAAGAGACCCCAGAACTTTGGAGATGCCTTTTCCACGGGATGGCCGATAGAAGCCAGTGTGCAGCGGGACCGGCCTGAGCCTAGGGGACAAGGTGGGTGTGGGGAGGAGCCAGGGAAGTGGCCCAAGCGCTTAGGAGGAGTTCAGAAGACGCTGAGCGAATCCCAGGTATTGGACACTGAATTACTTACACTGCTGGGGTTTGGTTTTGCTTCATTCAGATTGTGACTGTCTCCTGGTTCTTCCCGCTTGAAGTAAAAAAGTATTTAGCTTAACTTTGATTTTTACAGGATCCCACAGAAGAGAATTTTAACTTTTAAAAGAGATTTTAGTTTTTTAAAGAGACTGAATATATTTTTTTAACTTTTTATATAATCTTTGCGACGATCAGAGACTGGATATTCTAAAGGGAGTAAACTTTTAATGTGTTTGAATTTGTAGACTGTGGGAGGTTTAAAGTTTTTTCATGTTTTTAGTGTGAGATCTTGGGGTTGAATAAGAAAGGGAAGTCTGTGGCTTAATGGTGATGTGTTTGTGTCAAGTTGAAAAGGAGTCACTTATGCTGGCTAGTTTTATGTCAACTTGACACAAGCTAGAGTCATTGGAGGAAAGGAATCTCAATTCAGAAAATGCATACGACCAGGCTGTAGGGTATTATCTTAATTAGTGATTAATGGGGGAGGTCCTGGCCCACTGGGGATGGGGCTACCCCTGGACAAGTGGTTCTGGGTTCTATAAGACAGCAGGCTGAGAAAAGCATGGAGTTTTATCACAGAAATAACAATCCTAACTAGGACAGGCAAGAGGTACTCTCAACCACTGAGCCATCTCACTGGACACCTAACACTGATTTGTTATTGGTTGGTTAAAAGTTGGTATACACTACATCAAAGAGCCCATGGACATTCATATGACAATCAGTTCATCTGTGGTGGGGAAAGCATAGATTTTTGGCAGTGAACTGGTAGCTATGTCACAGTACCACAATCTATTGACTTGCAAATACTGCAAATAAAAGCCGCCAAAATTTTGATAGCTTACAGGCTGTCTGATATTTTATTATTTGTATTAACATAACTGAACTTCACCACAACCCTGTTAGATAGTTTTACTATAGTCCTCAATTTATTATACCGTAAAGGAGTCTTGTAGTGTCATATAAATATAATCTGTTATCACTGACCAAAAAATTGCAATACTATAGAAACATCTATATTTTATAACATACAAGCTAAAATGGTATATTACATATATACAATTACATAATGCTCTTGAGTACATTATACAATAGAATAAATATATTCTATTTATGAATATAAAACATAAGACTTGTACAAAATTGTATGGTAGCGTTTTGAACCCTGAAATTATTTTTCACCCTAATTTACTGGTGTGTGGAGCATGTATGTTCCAGAGTGTACATGTGGCGGTCAGAGGGTAACTGTGGGTTTCAGAGCCTGAACTCAGGTCAGCAGGCTTGGCAGCAAGCCCCTTCACCCACCAAACCATCTCACAGGCCTTCCATTCCACTATGATTTAAGGCTTGTGTACATTGCACATTATTGCTTGAGCCTATTGTAATTATATGCGCATATATGAGTGGGCATATCTAATATCACAACACATGCATGCATAGCATACACAATCACAATATGATTTTGTGATTAACACATTTTAGAGTGTGTCAGCTTATAGTAACATATGACAGAAAATTGTGAATGTCATTAATATTGTGTTTATCCTTTTCATCTTTTATATGCTGTGCTTCTTCTATTCTGTGTTATTTATTATATGATGTCACATCATATGATGTCACATTTTATTATATGACGCCACATAATGCCTCGCTGGCACTTATTGTCAGACATGTTACTTTTTTCAAGTGATTTAAAAAATAATTTGACATGATGCTATGCCTCCCCTCATGGATTTTGTGACCCGCTTGGGTGATGATTGGCAGTTTGACCCAGGAGCTCTCACCTGATCTGTGTTCCGTGGTTTCTACATACCTGGTGGTTCGTGGTCTTTACTTGGTCTCTGAAGTCATTGGTGCCATTCTCTGGATATGTAAACACTGAGGGAGGAAAGAGAACACAGGGGTTTTGTGTGGCTGGTAGCCATGTTTGGAGACATGCGTGATGGGGGCAGTTTTGATTATTTCCTGAACTGGAGCTTATCACTGGCTGCTTCCCATCCCCATCTTTACCTCCCTACCTCATTCTTCTTCTTTTTTTTTTTTTTTTTTTTTTTTATGAGACAGGGTTTCTCTGTTTTGGAGGCTGTCGGTCTAGCCTGGCCTCGAACTCACAGAGATCCGCCTGCCTCTGCCTCCCGAGTGCTGGGATTAAAGGCATGCGTCACCAACGCCCGGCTCCTCATTCTTCTTTCAGAGACGCTTTCCCTGCCTCCTCATTCAGCATCCTTCCAGCCCCGCTTGTCACCCTGGTCTGTGTGTACTCAGTGATACATCCCCACCATCACTGGCCAGGTGTGTGTCTGAATCTCTCCTCTGGGAGCGCCCTTTCAGAGGCAGAGGCATGTTCACTGTGTGGAATCACCTGAGAAGACAACTCCTAGTAACCTTTCTGAAACACCAGGATTTTCACATCCAGTTCTCTGATACTCTTAATGCTATCTTAAAGCATTAGCTTTGAACTTCAGAACATTCCCCTGATTGATTACTTCTAATGTACTGAGGCCACTGGCTGGATCGTCTCTGAACTTAGTTTTGGACTGTGTAATCCTCTCTTTGTGTGCTGGGTTATCAGCTTGAAGGCATCGCCTTTGATAATAAAACCTCTCAAGATGGGCAGTTCTCACTGTCCAGATACACACTTTTCCAGAGTTCTCACTGTCCAGATACACACTTATCCAGAGTTTTCACTGTCCAGCCGCACACAGGTCCAGAGTTCTCACTGTCCAGATGCACACAGCCCCAGAGTTCTCACTGTCCAGCCGCACACAGGCCCAGAATTCTCACCATCCAGATGCATGCTTGTCCAGAGTTCTCGCTGTCCAGATGCACACAGGCCCAGAGTTCTCACTGTCCAGATGCACACTTGTCCAGTGTTCTTTACAGAAACCTAGTGAGCTTTACTTGTCAGATCTGGTCCAATGACCATGGCCAGCTTGTCATTCTCACTGGATAGATCTTCCTTTGAGTAAATTGAGGTAAAGGGTTTATGCAGTAGGCTTGCTCTGAAAATTATTCTAGCATTGTGATGGCTTGACTTTTTAGAATAACATATTTATTCTTCATTCTTCTCCTTTACAATAGAAAGAAGTTATCATCACAGGATGGTAGGTACCATAGGAATCCATATAATTTGGTTAATTGGTGTCCTGACTCTCTACTGTTCATTCATTCAGTTAGTTTTATAAAAATCACACTGTGTGTGTGTGTGTGTGTGTATGTGTGTGTTTGTTGCACACCACAGTGTGCCTTTGGAAATCAGAGGACAATTAGTGAGAATCAGTTCTCTCCTTCTACCATGTAGGGCCTGGGGATTGAACTCTGGTCGTCAGACTTGGAGGCCAGCCCCTTTTACCCACTATACATCTTACCAGCTTCTCAACTGTTAATGACACAGACAGAGAAATTCTATGTTAAAAACATCCAAAACAAGAGCTCCTGCAGAAGTCCTAAGGAGTCTTAACTACCCAGGGCATTCTGTTTATAATTCCAGAGTTTACAGGTGCAGTTTCACTAGCACAAGGGTGCCCAAGATGCCCATGTACTACCAATGCAGCATCACTGAGTTGTGGTAAGTGGTCCCTTTCCAAAGAGCTTGCCTGAAGCATTTGGTTACTTAACTTGGTGTCTGCCTGGTGAAACAGGGCAGAGGCCACCAACACCCTTTCCTAGTATTATGTCGTCTCCTCAAATCCTGGTGTAAATACTTGGTTCTGTAAGTATAAAACTGTATTCTTCCCAAAAGACTAGTAAATCATTGATTGGAAACAAACAAAGAGGGTCTAAAGAAGGGAATCTCATCAGGTGAGTCTACAATGTCCAGTTTGGAAAGATTGTACAGTTTCTAAATTTCATATTTTACGCTTTTATTGAATATCCATCAGGTCTTCTAGTTCAAATATATATTATTCATATGAACTATTGAGAAAATTATTTGAAGTGACCTTAAGCTTTTCTGTAGTCAAAAGCAGCAGGAGTTTTAAAATTTATTTCCCCAAACCTTTCTTCTTCTTCCTAGGATTATTTAATTGTGTGTGTGTGTGTGTGTGTGTGTGTGTGTGTGTACACATGAGTGCAACTGCCTGTGGAGGTAAGAAAAAAGTGTCAGATCCCCTGGATATGGAGTTATAGGTTGTGAGTCACCATGCATGGGTGGTGGTGATCAAATTTGGGTGGGTGCTGGAAACTGAACTCAGGTCCTCTGCAAGAACAGTATGTCCCCCTCCCCAAAGAGTTTCTGAAGCTGATTTGCAGAATGGAGGAGAAAAGTAAGGCAGTTGTCTGTACACTGTGCAACCATGTATATTGTACAATGTGTATATTGCACAACCTGTATATTGTACAATTGGGTATACTGTACAGCTGTTATTTTTGCTGCTTTAAAGTGTTTTTATTGTGTGGAGAAAAGGGCTGTTTTGTTTTCCTTTTTGTGGATCTGTGCCGCCCATGAATGATACTATGCCAGGTTACACTATTAAATTATCTGATATGGGCCCAAATTTGAATTCTTGGTCTAATTACAAAGTAGTTATCCTGCAGTACCTTTAAAACACAGTGCATCACTGGGTTCAGCTCATGAGAATTTTACTACAGACTTTTGCATCTGTACTCAAGAGAGAGCGGCCAGCAATTTTCCCTTCTCCGGCCTTGTTTGGTTTTGAAGTCGGTATTGTAATAACCTCGTAAACCAAGTTAGAGAATGCGCCTGCCCTCCCTCCTTGCTGTGCTTTCGCTTCTCAGGAAGAGTTTATGTAATGTGGGAATTTTCTGTCCCTTAATTGTTTGGTAGAATTTACCTATGAAGTTGTCCAGGCTTGGCAGTTTCTATAAGGGTTAGAAACACTCACAATTTCTAATTCCATCCTTCTGCAGTTGGGCCATAGTTACTCTGGCGATTTTGGTATCAGCTCATTTAGAAAGGGTTTTCAGGCTCTTCTGGGAGAGTTTGGTCACGGCTGTCTTGTCTATTCCATGTGTTATATTCCCCTTTTGGTTATGACATCTTGATTCCCTACTCTCTTCCATCTTAAAATTGTTAGGGTTTATAAATTTTTTCTCTTTAATATCTACTCAGGATTTATTGCCCTGTCCTTGCAAGTTAATTATGTCTGCTTGTATCTTTATGATTACTATCTTCGTGCTGTTTGTTTTTGGATGGGAGTACCATATTTTGTTTTCTGACTTTTTGTTGTCATGTGTGTATACATGTTCACGTGTACACTCGTGTGTGTGTGTGTGTGTGTGTGTGTGTGTGTGTTAAGGAGTCTGGAAGATGACCTCACGTAGAGTTCCTAGTACTTTCTCTTTGATTGGTTGGCTCTTCCTTGCCACTCAATTAATTCAATTTTTGTCACCTTTTGTAGTTTGGAAAATTTGCTCTATTTTGCTATCTGTTGTATTGTTTTAGATCTTTAATGAAGCATATTTTAATAAGATCAAAAGTGAAACATTTTTAAGCTTCCCTCAAACAGTATGAGGATCACTGAATATCCATTGTCTATTTTTCAGATCAGTACTTTAGATATCTTATCAACAATGTTTAAAAGCACCATTGATTTCTTTTTTTAGGTAGCCAATGTATGCTTTCCTAGATTTGACTCTCCATTTGTCACTTTCTTTTTTTCTCTTTTTTATTTCTTATTATATGTGTATATGATGTGTGAGGTGGCGTGCATATGCAGGTCAGAGGACAACTTTTAGGGACCAGTTTTCTTTATCCACAGTGGGATCTGGGGCTTGAGCTAAGGTTGCCAGACTTGGATAGCAAGTGCTTCTATTCACAGATCCACCTGCCTGGCCCCGCCACTCTCTTGGCTTTCCATTTCTTCTTGTGTCAGGGTGTTTGCTGTGTGTGTAGTTTGAAAGAAAATGGCCCCCAAAGGGAGTGGCACTATTAGGAGGTGTGGCCTTCTTCGAGTAGATGTGATCTTGTTGGAGGAAGTGTGTCATTGTAGGGGTGGGCTTTGAGGTCTCTTTTCTCAAAGTTGATTCCGTGTTTCAGTCAGTCAACTTCCTGTTGCCTCTGAGTCCAAGATGTAGGACTCTCAGCTCCAGCACCACATCTGCCTGCACACTGCCATGCTCCCTGACATAATGATAATGGACTGAACCTCTGAAACTGCAAGCAAGTCACCCCAATTAAATGTTTCCCTTCATAAGAGTTGCCATGATCATGGTGTCTCTTCACAGCAATAAAATCCAAAACAAAGACACTGTGGTGGCTTTATTTATGATTCCAGGTTAAAAGTCCTCCCTCCCTCCCTCCCTCTCTTCCTTCCTCCTTTCTTCTTTTTTTCATCCTAAGGACGCCATATCACTGTTGGATTCAGCCGTAATCTGTAGGAAGCTCTTGTGTAACTTTCGTTCCTCTGTCATTGACTGCATTCCAGCCTCATGAGTATGTGGCTGTCTTTGCAGTCCTGTTGTGTCACAGAGATGGCTCTGAGGAATGGTGTCTTCAATCAGTTCTGTAAGTTCTCAGACAGAATGTTCTGAATGTTCTCTTACTCCTATCTCTGTGTATGTCAGCTGGCTGTGTGTTGGAATTGCCCACTCTTTTTCCACAACACATTTACTCTCAGATCCCAGTCTTTGTTGCCCTGGGTATTCACTACGTTTATTGACTCTGTATTTCTAGATGCTATTTTTCTCTTTAGCTGTGTCAAATGCCCTATCCAGCTTGTCAAACACATTTCTACTTTACAATATTCTGGAAGCCCTCTTTTGGAGTTTTGATAGTCTCTTGTTCTTTTGTTAGATTTTTCTAGTTTATATTAAGCATTTTAAACATAAATGACTATATAATTGTTTGATAAGTTTGACATATATGCCTCTGAGGCTCTGACCTTAAATTATCTGACCCTGTTACCTCTCTCTGACAG